AGGGAGGGAGGGAGGGAGGGAGGCAGGCAGGCAGGGAGGGAGGCAGGCAGGGAGGGACGGAGGGAGGGAGGGAAGGAGGGAGGAAGGAAGGGAGGGAAGGAGGGAGGAAGGAAGGAAAGAAGGAAGGAAGGAAGGAAGGAATAAAAGGATGGAAAGAAGGAAGAGAGGGAGGAAAGGAAGGAGGGAGAAAAGGAGAGAGGGAGGAAAGGAGATAAGTATATTCAATATCCAGCTCTCTTTAGACAAGCTGTTGAATATTCATTAGATACAGTGATTTTTTTAAATTTCGACTCATCAGAGGCAGATTCAAACCAGAACAAGTGCCACATTATTTTTCAAACAACAGTTTCTCCACTGATGGAATCCAAGTGGAATGAATGAATATGAACCTGAACGAAACGTAGCTGCACAGTGTCAGGATTCCTCATGAAATGACTATAAAGCCAAACAGAAGCTGTGCCACAGGCTTCCTTTTCTCCTTCACCTCCCGGCTTGTCCTTCACAGCTCACCCTTAAAAATCTTTGTTTCCTGCCATTATTTGATATGAGGCTAAGGAGAGTTTCCTTCATTTTGGCTGGTTCATCATTCTTTGTGGACTCTTGCAGTGACATTAATCAACTGTCACCTGCATGGGTTTTCTGCATCTGCTCTGATAATGGGCCTGCTTTTTAAAAAGTACACACAACACAGCCAAAAGAGTGGCCCCAGAGTGTGGCCCAGGGCAGGGGACACTGACCATAGTCAGAAAAGCATCTTTTATTTTCACTTATCTTACTGGTCTTTACTATGACCCAAAGCTTCCACAAAGCTCCATTTTCCCCATCTCTGTCCCACAACAGTATGTGTGAGTGTGGAGTAACTGGTCAAATAAAGTGGGATGTATAAAAATATTTCCCACACCTGTAAACCTCCATGCATGTGCTTGCATGCGCCCACACACATCCACACAATTATTACTCTGTTACCTTGGAAAGCACCACTTCTAATAGTAGATACTAAGGGTGAGTTAGCATCTACCATTAGATGTTAAGGGTGAGTTCAGGTCTCCCCTTTGGCACCTAATAGTTCTCTGACTGTTTTTTGGACAGGATACTCAAATGTCTCCAAGGCTTGACTTATTTATTTATAAAGAGGAATTTAGGGGGAAATTACCCCAGAAAATTTTATAAGAATCCAGCAGGTTAAAATACATAAAGTGCTTCCTTCATGGGAGGTCTATTTGAAGGTGTAGTAGTTTTAAAACATGTTCACAAATTCATTGATAGTCATCAAGTGCCAGAGCCTGGGGCTGTGCTTGGCTTGGAAAGGTCTCCAATGGGGGTGCAGTTGTGTGGGTGGGGTATTAGATTCTTATTATTGCACCACCAATGTGAAATAAATCTGTAAATAAGACCCCAGACTCTCCAGACGATGTGGGCTTCCTGTGGCTGATAGAGACACCCAAATTTATAAAACAGAACCAAATGGCTATAGCAGGATGAAAGAAGAGAGGTCACACACTCCTTCATTCTTGGAAAGGCAGCTCTTGAAAAATATCCCACTTTCCAACCCAGAGCCAGAATGGTTCCTGTAACCAAAGCCAAGATAAAGTGTGGCCCAAATGCCCACTCCCCAAGTCACCCAACCCTAACGTTTAGAAGAAACATCTGTCAGAGACTTCTGGTTTGGGGCTTGAAAACCACCCAATCAGGCCTCAACTATTTCCAACAATTGGAACTGAGCAAATCTGAATCCTTCATTTGCATAAACAGACTTGACTGAGAACTGAGGCAGCAACCTTTTTTGACGATGTCAGATCCTTCCTTTGTTCTTCTTGGAAGAGCATGCTGTCACTTGAGTAAAGCCTGTGCCTCCCCAAACCTGCACAGTATTTTTTTTTTTTTGAGACAGAGTCTCGCTCTGTTGCCCAGGCTGGAGTGCAGTGGCTCGACCTCGGCTCACTGCAACCTCTGCCTCTTGGGTTCAGGCGATTCTCCTGTCTCAGCCTCCCAAGTAGCTGGGATCACAGGTGTGTGCCACCACACCCGGCCAATTTTTTGTATTTTTAAATACAAAAAATTTCACCATGTTAGCTAGGATGGTCTCGATCTCCTGACTTCGTGATACACCCACCTCGGCCTTTCGAAGTGCTGGGATTACAGGCGTGAGCCACTGTTCCTGGCACTTTAAAAAAAAAAAAATGGAAAATGAAACTCTCCCTTTTTCCTCTGAAGATTTCATGGTCTTTTGTTAACACAAGTCACTAATATAACAACTTAAAACTTATTCCTTTATCAGGTCACAGTTCTGAAGGAAGCCCAGATATGGTGTGGCTGGGTGTTCCGCTCAGAATGGCTGAGTTCTCACCTGGGGGATCTAGGGGAAAATTCAGTTTCAAGCTCACCCTTATTCTCTGCTAAATTCAGGTGTCTGTGGTTGACGGACTGAGGTCCTCGTTTCCTTGCTGACATCAGTTGCCTCTCAGCCCTAGAGTCTATCTGCACCCTTATCACATAGCTCTCTCTCCTTTAAGTCCGCAAAAACGTGTTGAATCTTCAGGCTTCAAATCTCTGATTGCCTCTGCTGGCACCAGCCAGAGAAAATGCCCAGAATTTATGGTAAGGTCAGGCCTACCTGGATGATCTCTATCTTAAAGTCAAGTTAAGGTCATATAACATAACCTAATCACAAGAGTAGGAATCTTCTACTATATTCACAGTCTTGGGAGTTATGCCTGGCACATACAGATTGAAAGGCAGGAAATTTGGAACGCCATTCTAGAAGTTTGCCCAAACTAGGTAGGATTGCTGCTTCTCCCATCAGCACCCCTGGGGATCCCTTACAGCAATTCTTTCAGCTGGTACTCTTTCCCCCAGTCCAGCTCTGTAACTTCAGGTGACCTTCGTAAAGAGAAGTTGATGAGACAGTGTCTGTGTACTTGATGTGGGACCACAGAATTGTGACCAGGGGCTTCTCAGTGGGGCTTGGCTGTTCTAATATGTAGTATGTTGTGCCAACTAATACACAGTTGTTGTTATTAGAAGGGGAACATCTAGTAGGTGAGTGACCTGCCCAACTTGCTTGGTCAAGCAAAGTCTTATGCCTATCCTGTGGGGACATTGCCTGAGGATGATTACTGGATGGTTACCTCAATGACCACCTATCCTTTAAAGCTGGGAAAGCCTGTAGGACTTTTCTGCTGCTCTGCCCCTGCTCTTTGCCTTCCCTAACAGTCCAATGCTGTCTATGGGAATACAATTCATTCATTCACTCATTGGCTTAAGGAAACATTCATTAAGTACCTATGGTAAGCATGTGCCAGTAAATGTGCAAACATTATCTCTGTAGCAGCTGGATCCTACAGAAGCATTCAGATTGGTCTTCCTGCTTCTACCCTTGCCTTTTTGTCATCTATTTCCTACACACATGCCTGATGATCCTTTAAAAAGATTTACATAATGCCATTCTTCTGGTCAAAACCCTCTAATGACTTTCCAGCTCTGTTACAGTAAAAGCTCGAGTCCTCACCACAGCCTCTAAGGCCTGAACCATCTGGCTCCCTGGAGCCCCTCTGACCTCATCACCTATGCATCTCTCTCCTACTCTGCTCCAGCCACACTGGCTTGCCTGGTTCCTCCTCAGGCCACGTAGTCCTACGTCATGACCTCAGCACATGCCAATGCCTCTCTCTAGGCTGCCATTCCCCCACACCTGCAGGGCTTGCTTCCTTCACCTCTCTGCTCAGATGCTATATTATCAGGAATAGCCTGAGACATTCCCTGACCACATTCTATGGAGTAGCACATCCATTTCCCTTTTCATTTCCCATCCTTTTATTTTTCCTCCATGGCCTTACCACTCCGCAGCATTTTATTTATGTGCTTGTCAATCTGTTTGTGTCTCCCACCAGAATATAAGCTATACCAGCACAGAGACTGTCTTCTTTGCTGCTGTATCCCCAGAACATACAACATTTCCTGGCACACAGTGATGGATGAATGTGCTGTAAGTACCATGCTATATTCTGGGAATAAAGAGATGAATAGCGCAAGATTCTTTAGATTTTTTTTTTTTTTTTTTTTTTTTTGAGGTGGAATCTCACTCTCTTGCCCAGGCTATAGTGCAGTGGTGTGATCTCAGCTCACTGAAACCTTCACCTCCTGGATTTGAATGATTTTCCTGCCTCAGCCTCCTGAGTAGCTGGGATTACAGGCACCCACCACCACACTCGGTTAATTTGTGTACTTTTAGTAGAGATGGGGTTTTACCATGTTGGTCAGGCTAATCATGAACTCCTGACCTCAAGTGATCTGCCTGCCTCAGCCTCCCAAAGTGCTGGAATTATAGGCATAAGCCACTGCGCCCAGCCTAGAGTCTTGCCTTTGAAGGAATTCATAACCGAGTGGCAGGAGAAGAGGCAGATGCCAGCAATCATGAGGGTGCTGCAAGGGAAGGCCAAACAGGCAGGGGCTGGGCCTGGATAACCACGCAAACCTTGCAGAGCAGTAGCAGTTGAGCCCATTCTGGAGGATGAGTAAGGGGTGCCTGGGGAGAGTGGGAGGGGAGGCCTCTCACACCCCCTCTCACTTTCCCTTGTCCCACTGCTTCAGTCATGCCGGTTGGTGGCTGTCCTTGATCCTCAATGGCTAGGGGTGGAGGTGGTGTAGACCTAGCTTGGGTCACGTGCTTCCTCAGAGTCAGTCACTGAGGCTGGGAAGATAAAATGATCTCATTGACCAGGTTTGGGTCATATGCTCCCCTTAGAGAATGAGAAGAAGAGGGAGGTTCACTCCTATCAATCACAGGGCCTGGGAGGGAGGGGGTTCCTAAAAGTAGAATTTAGCTGCTATTTCCATACAGTTAAATGAACAGTAGCCTGGCCAAACAACACAATGGTCTCTCTTTCCACTTTGTTATTTTCACATCCACACTTTTTCTTTGTTCTGTTTTCAGTTTTCCTGTACTTAGGAAACTGTATCCTAAATATGCCAGAACTCTTGTTCTGTGTCCAGCCAGGAAGATGTCACCGGATGCCAGTAGTGGCTGGGTGTGGGGGACATTCAGGTGTGCGGTGCAGGAAAGGGTGGGGTGAGGGGTGTAGAGTCATCTCTGCTTCTGTCCTAGTGGGTTACTGATAGAACATTGTTCTGCACAGAGATTAGAACTCAGGGTATGAATGGCTCAGACTTTAGGTTTAGACTGCATTAGACTGTCATTCTATAAAGACCGCTGAAAAGACAACAGATTACAACAAAGTATTAGCCTTTGCCTTATTTGTAAGAAGGAAATATCTTAACTGCATAAAACCTTTGGTTTACTTCCCATATATTCCTTTAACAGTTTGATGACCATCCATCCTGGTTTGCTTGGGATTGAAGGGCTTCCTAAGACACAGGACTTGCAGTTTAAAAATGAAGACAGTCCTGGGAAAAGGGAGATATGAAAACAAAATAAACAGTGTTTTTTGGACTTTAGGGTATTTTACGATTGTAGAGGCTGTAGAGTTGTATCTACAAACTGTTTTAATAAAGAATTGTACTGGATCCTGCCAAAAATGAGGCTGCACCCAGGTGTTGTAAGAAGAAATCATTGTAATCACCTGTTCCTTAGGTAATTCTATCTTGTGTGTTAGCTCAGGCTACTATAAGAGAGTACTACAGATGGGTGGCTTAAAGAAACAGAAAAAATTTACTCCTTGCAACTCTGGAGGCGGAAGTTTAAGATCAGGTGCCATCATGATCAGGTTCTTGGGGGAAGGCCCTCATCTTGGTTGACAGCAGTCTTCTCCTTGTATCTTCACAAGGCAGAGAGCAGAGTGATAGAAAGCAAGTTTTCTCCTGTCTTTTTGTAAGGGCACTAATCACATTCACAAAGGCTCCACTCTCATGACCTAAATACCTAATTGCTTCCCTAAGGCCCCACCCTTTAATACCATTACCTTGTGGATTGAGATTTCAACAATATGAATTTGGGGGGACACAAACATCAATCCATTGGATGTTGATTAGATAAGAAGCACAAGTTAGATTCAGTATGGTACAGTACTTTAAGATCCTATTTATTTTAAAATCAGTTTACATTTATGTCATCTTTTGTTGTTAATCTCTAAGAGATATAAGCTAATTTGTTATTATTGATGCCTAATAACAAATAGAGGAAAGAAATTAAGCATCAAATCAATGAATTTTCTAACATGAAGATACCCATGTAATCCAAATAATTCATTTTTCATGATAAAGAACATTCAACTTTGGAAGTCTTTTTTTTCTGTTTTCTGACACATCAATTCACTATACCTGGATTGCATATATCTTTGAGCTACTGAAATTGGTGCCAGAATTCCAGGCACAGCATCAAAACAAAATAACCCAACTTCCGGTGAGCCTTGCAAATCCAAACTGCTTTTCAGTGATGGAAAATGCTGCATGATTTACATTTAAAATTAACATTTTTGATACAAGAGATACATATACTTACCCCCCTTTCTTTGGAAGCTCCTCCTATGGATTTGCTTTGCTTTATCAGCTTTTCATTGTACTCAACATGCATGGAGTGCAAAATAAATCAAGATAGAGGCCCTATATTACCAGTTGAGATAATAAATATTGTTGTAATAATATAGCATTACAAATGTTGCAGAAATAATGGTGATGACAGCTATATTTCACAAATCTGACTTTGTTTTTTAGATAATCATTGGATTGGCATATGTCTCAGGTTAAAGGGAAACTAGGAAGTCCATGTGTGGGCACAAACCAATTAAGTTGAGCACTCACTGAATTGCTTTCACAGCCAGGATGGGGAATGATTGACCACAAATCAAGCTGTACACATGTTAGACTACAAGAGTTTACAGGTAAATATGGCCCAAAGCCACTGCCACGGCATTCGTTGGCTGGAACATTTGCAGTGGTAAAGTGAGACGGAGAAGCTATTTAATTCTTTGTCAGAGGAGATCCTCCAGCTGGGTCCGGCTTTGGTATACACTTTAATGTGAAGGAAAAGAGGGAAAATTGGGCTTCCTATGCATGGCTGAGGACGGGAAGTCTGCCTACACCAGTGGTTCTCAATCCTAGTGCAATTTAGAAACTTCCTGGAGTTTAGAAAGAAGAAAAAAAATACAGACGCTCAGGACTCGCCCAAGACCAATTACTCAAGTTAAACAAGATTTATGGGAGACCATTGTTTTGGACTAACCTCCTGTACTAGGTCCTAGCAGACAAGATGAAACCAGAATGAAGTCACTTGTGCTAAGTGCCATGCAACCAAAATGAACTTTGAAACAGGCCAGTTTTCCCAAAAAACAGGAGATTCTAGTCAACCTGAGTCAGTACACTAACAACGTCCAAACTGTTTTTACCCTATAAGGAAAATAACTTTGAAATACCCACCTTAGTTGTTTGTTCTGTTCTTCAGCCTTTTTTTGCCCATAAAGCCAACCTCCTCTGCGCAGCTCACTGGAACACTCTATTTGCCTTATAGAATGATGTTTCCCGATTCTAGATCCCAAATATAAGCCAGTTAGATTTTTTTAAGACAAGAGTTTCGTTCTGTTGCCCAGCCTGGAGTGCAGTGGCATGATCTCAGCTCACTGTAACCTCTGCCTCCTGGGTTCAAGCGATTCTCCTGCCTCAGCCTCCCAAGTAGCTGGGACTACAGGCACGCGCCACCATGCCCAGCTAATTTTTTTGTATTTTTAGTAGAAACAGAATTTCGCCATGTTGGTCAGGCTGGTCTAGAATTCGTGACTTCAAATGATCCTCCCGCCTCGGCCTCCCAAAGTGTTGGGATTACAGGCGTGAGCCACCGCGCGCGGCCGCCAATTAGACCTTTAAACTAAACTTGTAATTTTGTCTTCTGACACTTCCTATTACTGCAGGTGAAACCCAGGCATTAGAGCAAGTGTAAAACTCCCCAGCTGATCATACTCTGAGGAATGGTTGAGAACATAGTTGGAGTTATTACCTTGGCATCCCGCTTTGAGGAATGCTTCCAGGACCCAAACCTTCTACAAAAGGGCTGTCCCTGCAGCCTAGGGCAATTTCAGCTCCTAGGTGCGGGGTCCAGGGCAGAACTTGGGTGATGGCGCTCACTTGAAACAGCAATAGTTTAATAACGGAGGTTCTCACGCACTTATTTCTGCAAAAACCTCACAAAAGCCCAGAACCCAGGACGAAACTTAGAGACCTCACAGCCCGCTCTGTCTTTTAGGAACTGCCCGGGCACATACACAACCGCCCAGGGCTGAGTGCGCAGGCGCGGACTGAGGACGCGGGAGAGGGCGCATGCGTGGGCTTGAGGGCGGTGCTTCCGGTCGATGTACCGCTGGGGGGCGGGGCCTGCGACACGCGGTGGGCGGGTCCTGAATTGCGACCCTGGCCCGGATCTGACCTGGATTGCGACCCCAACCCGGACTGCTACCCTGACCGCGACCCCTACCCCTGCCCACCCGCATGGCCCGGCACGTGTTCCTAACGGGGTCCCCAGGTAACCCTGCGGGGATCCCCACCTCTGCGAGGTCGAGGGGGTGGGGGCGCGCGGGCTGGGGGCGACCCTGTGCTGTCGGGGAGAGTCCCCGGCTCCAGGGTTCCGGCCTCTGAAGTTCCCAATTTAAATGGCGGGCTTGGTAGTCTGAAGCGTTTATACTCCTTCCCGGAAAACGTGACTTAAACGACTAAGGGCCCAAAGGATTAGAACACACTCGTGAGGGGGTCCTAGACCGGCTTCTTGATGAAGGGCTGAAACCGCAGGAGCCAGCGGCAGCGGTAACTCCTTACTGCAGTGTTGACATTGTGGTCTGCACAAACCGTGTTTCAGGAGATCAGCAGCAACCGCGATGTCAAGTGGGGATGTTTGATTTCTAGTGACAGTCACAGGTACTTCTTTATTGTGGCTCTTTGCTACATAGTGCAAAGAAATGGGAAATTTTCTTTGGAGGATAGCGAAATGGAAGATGTAACACCTTTTTCCCATCTAAGTTCATCCCCCTATCCCCGTCCCCATCCCCATTTCCATCCCCTTGAATTCCCTCCACAGCTGAGGCCACAGGTGGAGAAGCTTTGGTACCTACAGGAGCCCTTCTCAGACGCTCTTGCTTGTTCCTGTCGCTGTCCGCCCCCCACCCCGGCCCCCCGCGATGTCTGTCAGATCCCTCAACCTGTGGCCTGTGGAGTTCTCATCTGGGAAATAGGATAGTATTGAGGTCAGATGAGAGAGTAGGAGGAGATGCTTTTAAATGAAGGCGCTACCCATGTATCAAGCATTACTAAAAAGGACGGATAGGAAGGTGGTGGTCACATCAGACAGGCTAAGAAATAATGGTGGGCTAAAGGACTTCAGCTCCTTTGCAAGGCAAATCTAATTTTGAAGTTTATTGTGGGCTCAGATATCAAAGACTGTAACCCTGGATCTAGAATTCTTTTTTACTTTATTTTAATGTTTATGTTTAGCCTTAAGTAGCAAAGGCTACACCTAATATTGCAGACTTTGGAATTCTATCAGGCATTGGAGAGGGCAAATGGGGAGCAGACGGTGAGGAGGAGGAGGAGTAGGAGGCTGGTTTGAGAAATGCCTGCTATCCACAGTCACTCCTAAGTATTGCAAAGAACTGTTTTCCGAAAGTTGGTTTGTCAATCCTTTATTTGAAACTTGGAATGCAGTTTGATACAAAGCAGGCTGACCCCAAGATATCCGTGTGTTTTATAATGGAGGTGTCTTGATACCCTGATTGTATTGGTGGTGATTCTTGTTTCTGCCGTCTTATCAAAGTCTTCTGTAAACTAGCTGAAAGACTCAAATAATTCTACAGTGTGGCTCTCTTAAACCTGTCCTCAAACCCACGCACCTGTCTTTTCTCCTCCTCTTCCTCATGTAGTTACAATGTAATTTTCATTAGTGAGTGTTTATAGTATTATGGCTATGTAAAGATAATCACAACAGAGCCACGTAGTAACCTTTTTTTTTTTTTTTGAGACAGTCTTGCTCTGTGGTCCCAGGCTGGTGTACAGTGGTGTGATCTCAGCTCACTGCAACCTCTGCCTTCCAGGTTCAAGTGATTCTCCTGCCTCAGCCTCCCAAGTAGCTGGGACTACAGGTGTGTGCCACCACGCCCAGCTAATTTTTTTTTTTTTTTTTGTAATTTTAGTAGAAATAGGATTTTACTGTGTTAGCCAGGATGGTCTTCACCTCCTGACCTGGTGATCTGGTGGCCTCGGGACTCCCGAAGTGCTGGGATTACAGGCGTGAGCCACTGCACCCAGCCATAATGTATCATTTTTCCATTTATTTATTTATTTTAGAGACAGGATCTTGCTCTGTCACCCACGCTGGAGTGTAGTGAAACAATTATAGCTCCCTGCATCCTCAAACTCCTGAACTTAAGTGATCCTCCCGCTTCAACCTCCTGAACAGCTGGGACTACAAGCGCATACCACTATACCCAAGTAATTTTTAAATTTTTTGTAGAGACCTGTCTCTTGCTATGTTGCCCAGGCTAATCTCCAATTCCTGGCTTCAAGTGATCTTCCCACCTGGGCCTCCCAAAATACTGGGATTATAAGTGGGAGCCACCTAACCCCTCCTTCTTTTTCTTTGTACTAGGATAGGGTCTCGCTCTGTCGTCCAGGTTGGAGTGCAGTGGTACAATCTCAGCTCACTGCAACTTCCACCTCCCGGCTCAAACAGTCTTCCCACTACAGACTCCCTAGTAGCTAGTACTACAGGTGTGCACCACCATGCCCTCTAATTTTTCTTTTTTTTTTCCTTTTACACACAATGTTTTTCCCCCTAATAACTCCTAATAATAGGAGTTATTATCTGATGTTTTTATTTGCCTAGTTTCTTTCTGTCTTCTTAACATGTTCAGACCATCAGGTAATGTCTCCTCTCAAAGAGCTCACTTTTTGTTACATATCCTCTTAGTACCCCTGGCACTTAGCATTTTTTCCCATTTCCAACTGTCTGTACCCATGACTCATCTTGGAGGGCTTTCTCTGGTCCCTGGAGCCCACTTGACCTGCACACAGAGCAGGCCCGAAGAGCCAGGGAATTCCTGTGCCCAGGGAGTAGCCTTCAACCTGTGATTCCTTAAAGTTAGTTGATAAATTCCCTACTTCCTCACTCCTCAGACAGGATAACTGAGCCACTTGCCCTGACTTGTCCCTTAGGATTCCCCAGTGGGATGAAGCTCCAGCTGCCCCCAGTGGAACTTGCTTGATAGTACACCTCGTGCTGGTGTCTTCCCCTCCCTTCTGACTTTCTTCCCTACCAGCTCATCATGTTGTCGGCTTCCCAAGTTAAACTACCTGCACTTGAACTTTATCTCAGGGTCTGCTTAGGGGAGAACCAGAACCAAAATAATTCCAGAGCTTTCTGATCTGTTTGTGCCTGGCATACAGCTGTCACCTCGACGTATTTGGTTCATTTCTTATCCAGACAGTATTGGGGTAGCAGCTTAACTAATGAAGAAAAAATTAACTGAAAGAAGATTCCTAGAGCTGAAGAAGCCAAAAGGAACTTGGTCCAAATGCTTCCTATTTATTAATGCACAATGTGCTACACAACATGCAGTCCCCACAGTATACCCTTTGTGAACAGGAATAGTTACCATTGCTCCATTTTATCTTTTTCAAAATATAAAACAGCGTTGTTTTTTTTGTTAGGATAAGAGTAAGACCAATTCAGTATAAGAATTTAAAAAACCAGGAAAGTTTTAAGGAAGAAAGCGACAATTACAAGGAATTTCAACTTAATAGAAATCATCTCTGTAAATCTTTGTTCTGTAATCTTGACATTATTTTCTGTAGACACATATGTACTTCGCCATTTTTTAAAAAAACATAATGGAATGGTTTCCGCTATTAACCTGCTTTTTTTCATATATTATTATCATATACTGTGGTCTATTTTCCATGGTAATAAGTACACATAAGCAATATATATATATATGTATATGTGTGTGTGTGTATTTTTTTTTTTTTTTTTTTTTTTTTGAGATGGAGTCTCGCTCTGTCACCCAGGCTGGAGTGCCGTGGCGTGATTTCGGCTCATTGCAACCTCTGCCGCCTTGGTTTATGCAATTCTCCTGCCTCAGCCTCTTGAGTAGCTGGGTCTGCAGACGCATGCCACCACACCTGGCTAAGTTTTTGTATTTTTAGTAGAGACAGGGTTTCACTGTATTAGCCAGGATGGTCTCGATCTCCTGAACTTATGATCCACCCACCTCAGCCTCCCAAAGTGCTGGGATTATAGGTGTAAGCCACCGTGCCCAGCCAGCAATATATTTTTTAATGGTTGCATGGTATTCATGTGTATTTATGTGTTATTATATACACGGTGCTGTGAGTTAACATTCCCTCACTAATCAACATTTAGGTTGTTTTCAGTGTTTTGCTATTATAGAAAATATTGCAGTGAATGTCCTGTTGTACACATTTTGTTGACATCTAGTCATGAACTGCAGGTTGCTGTAGTAGGCATATTGAAATTGCCCTTCAGAAAAGGAGTACCAGCTTACACATTCAGCAATGCTATTACTTGCATTAAACAGATTCTTCAGTGACTTTCCTAAAGCAGTTGTTACTGAGGGCCAGGGCTGGATTAGAATTTCATCATTTTATGTTCTACACAGTTCTCCTACCAGCCACCTGCTCACTGTGGCTCACTATAGCCAGAATCCTCTTGGGTTGCTGTTCATGTTCCAGAAGGCCAGGTGCTATTATTTTAATGTGAAGTGTGAAGCTAGATATATTAAGTTAGAATAATGGATCATATTTTATGTCAAGGAGGGTTAAAAGAGTAGGTAGTCCTAGAAATAGCATGATTTACAACTCTGTAGTGTCTCAAAATAGCTCACTTGCAGACACGCTAGCTTTCTCTCTCTTCCATAGTTGGGTAGTCATGATGCCACTTACTTAAATCCATATTGGGAACAAGGCTCATATTTTTAAAAGTTCAGTTTCTTCATCTGTAAAATATGCATAAGGATAGTAACTGCCTCAGAGGATGGTTATGAGGGCTTAACCAAGAAAATGCTTCTGAAGTGGGCTAGAACAGTGTCTGGCTCCATAGTGTCAGTGGTTGGTATTACTATATTAGGTAGCACCTGTTGGTGCTTGTAAACCCATGAGTTCATCAGAGTAGTCAACTGGCCAGGCTGGATGGAAAGGAAAGGTCAAGGTGGGGAGGATGAGAGGGTGCAGGTGCATAGGTTCAAATTAGGGAAGGTGTGGGGGATAAGGTGAAGAAATGCTTAGAGACCCTGGAGAAGATGATGTTGGACCTGACAGGCTTGCTGTTATGAACAAGTTTGAAAGCGACCATTAACAGGGATGTTAATGGTGTTTAATACACTTTTTCAGGAGATACAGCAATGTAAATCCAAGGAGGAGTAAAGTGATTTTCCCACTGTAAGTGTAGGTCCATTTGTAATCTCTTGAAGGCTGAAATCTTAAATTCCCAGCCCCTGACTCAGGTGTGACCAATGTTACTTCCTGGGCAGAAAAATGAGAACTGTAAACCATTTCACAGGAGGCAAAGGGCACGTGAGAATATCATCAGAAACCACTCAGTTGGTTCTGGGATTGTGTATGTGCAAAATTAATAATGTTTCACATTTAAAAATAAACCTCAAGATATCATTCCTATTTTTATTATGCTTGTTGAATTATGCTTGAAATTAAGCATTTTAACACCTGGAGCAATCAAAATTAAATTGAAGTTAATATTCATAAATGCATTTACAGCCCATTTCTCTACCCACCCTAATTGCTGTCTCAGAGTCAACAAGTGCTGTGTGTGCTCTAGCGAGGGAGTGATTACTAATGGGCTTTTCTTCTTTTTTTTTCTTTTATTTTAGGGGTTGGAAAAACAACACTGATCCAGAAAGCCAGTGAGGTTTTAAAATCCTCTGGAGTGCCTGTCGATGGATTTTATACAGAAGAAGTCAGACAGGGAGGGAGAAGAATAGGATTCGATGTGGTCACGTTGTCCGGCACCCGAGGGCCTTTATCGAGAGTTGGGTACTGATATTTCATTTCTGTGTTGTTTTATTGTCTAAGCTCCCCTTCCACCTGTGCTTTGGGAGCTTTTCAACAAGAGCTAAATTCACCAAAAGCAAAAACTCAATTGGGTTCTTGGATGCCAATCTGCTTTCCCTTTAGGTTGAGAGTTTCTCCCTGGGCACAAAGTTGAGCCAAATGATCTCATCTATCCTGAAGAATCTTAGGCCTTTAGGGGTTTCTCAGAGAAAGGAAACAGAATGTAACCATCACATGAAAAAAGTCATATTTTACTTAAAACTTATTCACCAAGTTATAAACTCCGCACTTTATAATTCTTCGTCCTGTTTCTAGTGCCGCTTTTCAAAGACTGTTGATGCAATAGCTGCTCGGAGCTTATAGCCTTGCCATAACCACAAGGCCCATTGTTGGAGGTGTGGACACTTAGGGTAGGTCTGTTCAAAGCAGAGAAAACCTGATCCGCTTTGCAGACCACTGCATTTTGTGTTGGTCATTTTTAAGGTTGACTTAGCATATGTGGAATGCCAGAGGCTCAGTGGAGCAGCTAAAACCCAGAAATCAATACTGGAGTTTTTCAGCAAAGAACACAATGTCTTTTCCTTCAGGTTACAACCTCTACCTGGAAAACGTGAATGCCGAGTTGGGCAGTATGTGGTTGACCTGACTTCTTTTGAGCAGTTGGTGCTCCCTGTCTTGAGGAACGTGAGTATGTGGTTTCTGCTTTTTGAACCCATCTGCTCTTAGTGCACTGTGGGAATTGCTAGCCATGGAAACAGAATGCCTTTTGCTCTTAAAGTTTTGCATTTTACAGTTTAAAAGTTATCTGGTGATTGAGTCTTAATAAGGATAAACAACATAATTTGCTGTCACTCTGAGCTACAAGTAAATTCCTATAAATTCAGTACACATAAATATTTTATTTCGGAAAGGCTCTTGATGCCCAGGTGCCAACATTCCCAAAGATAGGTCTTTCCTCTGTCTTCTCACATTCATGTCTTAACCTGGTTTCACAGCACAACAAACATTTAGGAAGAAAAAGCATCATTATATAAGCATAATCACCAGTTGTTATCAAATGCCTAGCAAGTACTGTAAGCAGTTAAGACATTATATCGTTATATTACCTTTTTCAAGAAAGAAAAAAACAACTTTATTGACATCTTACAACTTCTTCCTTTCTACTTTTAATGCCTTTTATTTCATTTGCTTGCCTAATTGCCCCCGCTAGAACCTCCATTACAACATTGAATAAAAGTAGTGATAGTAGATATCCTTGTCTTATTCCCAATCTTGGGAAGAAAATATTTAGTCTTTCACCATTATGCATGATGTTAACTGTGTCTTTGTATAGAGTTTATGCAGGTGTATTTTGTTGAGGATTTCTGCATCTGTATTCACAAAAGATATAGTCTGTAGCTTTCTTTTCTTGGGATATTGTTGTTTAGTTTTGGTATCAGGTTAATACTGGTCTAATAGAGTGAGTTAGGAAGCGTTTCTTTCTCTTCTAATTTTTGGAAGGGTTTGTGAATGATTGGTATTAATTTTTCTTTGAATGATTGATAGAATTCACTAGAGAAGCCATGTGGGCTAGGTTTTTCTTGGTGAGAAGCTTTTAAATGACCAATTCAATCTCTTCTTATAGGTCTGTTGATTTTGTACGTTTTGTTGAATGAGTTGTGGTAATTTGTACCTTTTAGTAATTTGTCCATTTCATCTGAAGTATCTAAGTTGCTGGCATACATTTGTTCATATTCACCCATAATGCTTTTTATTTTGTAAGATTGGTGGTATTGTCACTTCTTTCATTATTTTAGTTATTTAAATCTTCTCATTTTTCTTGGTCAGTCTAAACATTTGTCAATTTAGATGATCTTTTCAAAGAACCAATTTTTGTTTTATTATGTATTGTTTTATATACCTATTTATCAAATATTAAGTACTGTGTATACAGTCATGAACAAAGCAGACATGTTTTCTGCTCCCTCAAAACTGTTAGTCTAGTGGGAAAGGTAGACACTAAATAAATTTATACTTCGTTATTAATGCTGTGACAGAAAAGAGCAGGGTGCTATGAGAGACAGTGACAGGAAGAACTGACTTGAGAGCAATGGACCAGGAAAGAGTTCTGAGAAGATGACATTTAAACAGAAAGGAAAAGGTGAGAGGGCACTGGAGAGAGTTAGTATTAGGGTATTTGTATGTGTCAGGGCGGGGAGATCTGGGGATAATATTCTAAATGGCAGGAACAGATACATTAAGACCTCAGAGCCTTGGAGCAAGAGCAGGTGAAGAAGGTGAATTTGGTGAGTTGGGGGCCATGTGATGCAGGACTCTGTGGACCATGTTAAGGAATGTGAGTGTTATTTAATCTTTTATAGGCTTACTACTTTGATTTGTGAAAATTAAATGGTACAGACATGTCTCAAAAACCAATTATAAACCGTCCAGAGGTTTCCATGGCACCAGGGAGTCCAAGGTCTTTCTAGTGGCCGAGAAGACCCTGTGATACCTGGCCTTAATAACCTCTGACCTCAACTTGCCATTCTTCAGCCACACTTGTCCAATCACTTCCCGCACATGCCAGCCTGACACTCCTTGGCTCTTGCCATTTTCTTTGGTGAGCACACTGTCTTCTAAGATCTTTGCCTCTCTGTTCCTTGGCATTCAGAGCTCAGCTGGAGTATGGAGTGGCAGTTGCCCAAAGGCTACTGAAGATTTTAGCTATAGCCTGCTGAGGATCGTTCTAATCTCAGAGGGTTGCCCAAAGGCTACTGAAGGTTTTAGCTATAGCCTGCTGAGGATTGTTCTAATCTCAGAGGGCTGGTGGTATCTTATGGTCTGTTTCAGCAGGGGGTTGTGCCTCTTGGAACCCAACAGGTTCTCCTTTTCTTCCTATCCCCTATTTCCTCCTCCCACTTCCTTCTTCCCTAATTCCTTCCTCTTGGAACTTTCCCTCAGTTCCTGTGCTGGGGACTCTTGTGGCCAATGTGTTGTGGAGGAGCAGAGAGCATGGTACTTTTCTTTTGAGTTTTCCCATCACATATGTTCCTCTCTACTTAAATGTTCAAAACACAAGTGAAATACTTGAAATTAAATTCCATGTGAAGATTCTGGTTTTAGGAACTGACTGCGTCAATGCAAAGAATTTTTCACTTAACCTGCTCAGACAGAGTAGACCAAATCCTGGGAGAAAAGTGTGCACAGGTGCTTAGTGTCTAGCTGCAAGATCATATAAGAGATCATGTGCTGACTAGATCAAAGCATGAATCTGTTTTCTAATTAAAAAATGAAGAAATACAGAATTCTCCCAACTTTTTATATTCTGATTACCAAATGTAGACATGCACATTCCCTGTAGAAAAAGTTCCTAGCAGGGGATTTGATATGGTTTGGTTCTGTGTCCCCACCCAAATCTCATCACAAATTAATCCTCATGTATGGAGGGAGGGTCCTGGTGGGAGGAGGTTGGATCATGGGGTGGTTTCCCCCAGGCTATTCTTCTGATAGTGAGGGAGTTCTCATGAGATCCAGTGGTTTCAAAAGTGGCAGTTTTCCCTGCACGCTTTCTCCTGCCACCACGTGAAGAAGATCCTTGCTTCCCCTTCACCTTCCACCATGATTTTAAGTTTCCTGAGGCCTCCCCAATCATGCGGAACTATGAGCAAATTAAACCTCTTTTATTTATAAATTACCCAGTCTACGTAGTGTCTTTATAGCAGTGTGAAAATGGACTAATACAGGATTCTTATCCAGTCAGGGTCATGGATTTCTTTTCTGGAGCAGAAATTTTTCTCTCATCATATATATTTTACTGGAATGAAAAAAGGAGAAGGAATTGGTCTTTGTCTTTACATTAAAAAAAAGAAATATTAAAATAATTAGGCAACAAAACTGGAGAGTATAAAGAGATCATTTTTGTTACTGGCAATGAAAACAACCAAGTAAACTGGAAGCTTTAGAAACTCTTTATAAAGGGGCACAGTGTTAGTTCATAGAGCCTGGGATCTATGAAAACATAAACTCTGATAATAAGAAATATTTATCGTGTGTAAGCAGTTTCACTATGTATGAGTAAAAGTTTGAGATGTGTGTGTCTGTGTTTTAATACTAAAAAAAAAAATAAGAAAAAAAGTACTTTTCTGATTAGGCCAAGCAGGGCTATGCCTGTTTACAGGTGGAGTAGTGAGAATATGGGTGGGACCTGTCATAGTGGCCCACACCTGTAATTCCATCTCTTTGGGAGGTTGAGGCAGGTGGATCACTTGAAGCCAGGAGTTCGAGACCAGCCTGGCCAATATGGTGAAACCCAGTATCTACTGAAAAAAAAAAATCAGCTAGGGATGGTGGCACGTGCCTATAGTCCCAGCTACTCAGGAGGCTGAGGCAGGAGAATCACTTGAACCTGAGAGACAGAAGTTGTAGTGAGCCAAGGTGGTGACATCGCATTCCAGCCTGGGCAACAGAGCAAGACTCCATCTCAAAAAAAAAAAAAAAAAAAAAAAGAATGGTCAGGAGCTGAAGGGCAACTCGAGGTGAGGGAAAGGCTCAGGAGGCCCAGGCACAACCCAGGTCCACCTTGTGGAACTGCTCTGGTTATGTTTCTTTAGGCAGGAATGGCGCCTGGGCATCATGGTTGCTCATGAGAAATAAAGAAAAATAGAGCATACGTGGTAAGCGTTCTAGACTCAGGAAGGTTTTTAGAAAGCCTTTAGTGGGGTTGACGGTTAATTTTTTTCATTCCATGAGTTAACTCTTTCCTTATTTGTCAACATTTATTATTTTCTTGAGTATTCAAGTTCTAGATATTCATGGTAAAAAATTACAAAAAATGTAAAATAAAAATTAAAAATACAATGCGAATAACTCATAATCTTATCACCAAGTTAGCCAATGTTAGCATATTTTGTTTCTGCTCCTTTTGTTTACCTAGTTTGTTTATTCAGTCATTCAAGATCAGGGGAAATGTTATGTATAGTTTCATAGGTTTGGTGTTTGTTTCCCTTAATGTGATTGAGGGACATGGGAATGTTCTCACAACATGATAATCTTCAAAACTGGGAGATTTTAATAGTTTCATCCTATTTCATGTTATGAGTTTTCATCTTTGATTTAATTATTACTCCCTCAGTGTTGGGCATTCAGGTTCTGTATCACCATTGTAAATAACCTTGCAACAAAGCACCCTTTGTACTTGAGTCTTTTTCTCTAGGCGTGATTATTTCCTTAGGGAGAGTCTAAAAGGGGAAATATGAGCTGGCGGGGTGTGAACTTTCAAGATCTTGTTAGTGCTGTGTTGACTTTGTGCCCCACTGCCAGGGTGTGAGTGTGCTCGTCTTGCTGCATTTTGCCAGCCCTGAGCACTGAACTTATTTTCAATATAATACACACTGCTTTGCTTTAATTTGCATTTTACAGTTACTAATGAATGGGGTTAAGAGTTTTTCAGTTGTTCATTAAGTTTTCCTTAATTTAAATTGTTCATCTATCGCTCTTCCCATTTCTTTACTTTGGGCTTAAATAGATCTTTTATAAAGCAGATAGCCTTTTTATATTATTGATTCTGTTTTTCTCAGTTTGTCACTTCAGTTTGGTGATTTCTTTCCTTCAACACAGAGAAAAGTTTGTCCCTATTCCAAATTTATATAGATCTTTTAATTTTACCTAGATATTTCTTTTTCTGCATCCTTTTTTTTTTAACATTT